TGCTAAAATAATGTCTGTCATTTTCTCCACCATAAAGTTAGCATTTTCCCCTTTAAGACTCTCTTCTTTAGAAGCAAGTCATTAAATCCAGTCTACACTCAAAAGGAGAGAAGTCAATCATATCCTAGATGCAAAGTACCAGAGAATTTGAGGACATACTCTAAAACTACCACAATAAAAAATTATTTTTAATTGATTCTTTTTTCTTTCAGAGAGAGAGGGGAAGGGGTAGGGATAGAGAGATAGAAACATTGATGAGAGAGGAACATCATCAATCAGCTGCCTCCTGCATGCCCCCTACTGGGGATTAAGCCCATGTGACTGGGAATCAAACTGGCAATCTCTTGGTTCCTGGGTCCATGATCAACCACTGAGCCACACCAGCCAGGCTCTTCTTATTTTAACACAGATTAGTGAATCTTACCTATAGCAGTTTTTTACTGTTGTGTTCTAATGATGATTTAGGACAGTATTTTTTATTTGATATTCTGCCATTCCTTATTCAGCATGAAACTAAACACAAAGTAGATAATCAATAAATATTTGTTCTTTTTAAATAATAAATACTTGTTAAGTATAACTGAATTTCAAGAAACATTTAGGTGAGGTAAAATGAGATAATGGAAGGTGGGTACATTCAAGGTAAATATGTATTTTGGCAGTTGTGCTATTCTTATGTCATATGTCTTCATTAATGGAATGGAGATAGAAAGAAAAAGAATTAATTACCTCACCTCTACTAAAACTAGGAAAAGTTCCTGGAGAAAAGAACAATAATAATAGTTGTATAGTGCCTTAGAGTTTACAAAGTGTACTCACACTGATCATTTAGAATTTCAAAAGCTCTCTGAAGAAAATCTTCAGGAAATAAAGACAAAAAATAATAAACTTGTGAAAGGCACTATTAAATCAGGAATTGAAAAGTTAGACATAGCAACTACATAAAACTAACAAGGAAAAGCAAAAGTAAAAGCACAGAAGAAACAGATACAATAAAAAAAATAGTGTGAGTCCAGTGCAAGGTTTTAAACCAAGTGGTAAGGTTGATTTAATACAGTGCATGAAACCAAGACAACTTAGACTAACTACCAAAGATAAAGAGTACATGGCTAAGAAAATGAATAATGTCATTAAACTAAGCATTAAAAGCAGACTTCATGGGAACATGCATTGAAGATAAAAAAATGAATAGAATCTTCATGTTTGTATTCATTCTTTTCTTCGTTGGTCACCTCCATTTTCCCAGTGCCTTTAACAGTGCTCTTAACCTTTTATGTATCCAAAAATATTTGCTTTAGTTTTACTATGTGTCATACATTATGCTAGACATTTGGGGATACACAATAATTAGATATGATCCCTTCCTATAAAGAATGTGCATTCTTTCTTTTTTTTTAATCCTCACCCAAGGATATGTTTTTATTGATTGTTTTAGAAAGAGAGAGAAACATCAATGTGAGAAATATCAATCAGTCACCTCCCACACACGCCCTGACTGTGGATCAAACCCGCAACCTAGGCGTGTGCCCCAACCAGGAATGAACCCACCACCTTTTTTGTGTGTGTACGGGATGTTGCTTCAGCCAACGGAGCCACTTGGAAAGTTAAAACAAATACTTGTGTGAAAAGTGAAAAAGCAAAAGAAAGTAGAGAGGGCCAAAAGAACAGCATAAAGAGTAAAAGCTACAATGGTCCAGAGGAAGAAGAGATGGTTACGGTATGCCTTGTTCAGGAAAGGCTTTATGGAAATAAGGGGCATTTGCAATAGGCCTTCAGGAACTGGGCAGGGTAGGGGGTGAGATTTGAACAAAGCCAAGAGAAAGGGATTCAAAGCAGAGATATACCAGCTGAACATAGGTATGGGGTTTAGACAGTGCTTTAAGAAGACAGTGAAATTAAGTAGGGTTGTAATAAAAGGTATATTAAAACACAAGTTACAGACAGTAAGCTGAGATTGAAATGTAAAAGGCCTTGAATGCCAAGTTGAGGAGTTTAAACATTTCTGTAAGCAATCCAAAAATAATCATTTTTTAGCAAAAAAGTGACATGATATACCTGAAACTAATATAATATTGCTATGTCAACTGTAATTGGAAAAAATGTTTTTAAAGGAAACATGATGAATGTGATATTTTAGAAATATTAAGCTGGTTTTTGATGTGCATAATAAATGGTATACAACTTGATTAAAGGTATGGTTATAGCAGCAAAAAGGCAGGTATATAAAGAAAGCACATAGAATATGTAACAAAGAAGGGCAGATTGGAGCAAAATAAACTTCTGAACAAAAGATTAACCCAAATTTCTTTGTTGAGAGCAAGAAAAGCATAACATCACAGAACAGAGAGGAAGTTAGGCAAAGGGTAAGATTCCAAGGTATGAAGAACAATCCAATTTTTATTTCCTCCATCATCACCATGTTTCTATAAAATTTAAGTTGCCTAAGCATAGAGTATGTTAAAGGAGTAACCAAAGAAGTTCCAAAAGTGATAAACAATGGCTGTAGAAAGAGAAAACGCAGTTGCATTAAAGTACTTAAAATTATTTGGAAAATAGAAGCCACATGACTCTATTGTTTTACAATATGTTTAAGTCAGTATATCTTTTTTTTAATAAGGTGCTTATGCCTAAGTGCTTATTATAGGGCCATTTACTAAGAAGACCTAATTATTTTAAGATGAAAATTGACACTGAATGAAAAGTAACAACCGAAGTATAATTTTTCAAAATTGCTGAGACTATACCTAAAACAATTTTGCCTTGAATTCTGCAATGCAACATGCAACAACAAAGACAACATGGTGGCTTAAGGATATGTAAGCATCAAAGGGCAGAAATAGGGCATTCCCACTCTCTTTAACTCTGCTAAGGACTCAAATACTGATATAGTTCAGAGCATCTTATTACCAAGAGACATAAATCAAAGAAGTTCAGCTAGGAGCAATAAAACAGATTAGTGTCTGGAAGAACTGACTTTAAAGAAAGTTTTAAAAGAATTAAATCCAGGTAGTCTAGATAAAAAACAGCTATGACAAAACCTCTTTTTTTGAAGGTGATATGCCAAGGACAGAAATTATTTTGAAGGTAGACATCTAAAAAATACAAAATGAATAATTATATTTATGGAATATGCATAAAGGAAAATCTCAGGATAAATTTGCTGGCAAAAACCTATGGGACAGAAGAGCTCTCTCCCATAGAAGTGGTGAAAACTGTATTCCTAGAGATATTTAATGCCAGGTTGGACAAAACAAGAAAAGGATTCCATATGAAATGATCCTGTACTGGCCAGCCCCTGAAATGGTGGGAGGATTGAAGATGATCTCTTAGATCTTTTCCAATTCTGATTTTTTAAAATTCTATGAAGTTTTATGGGGCACAGTCTTTTGCCAATTTCTTTTCTCCCCATGGTGCCCACTTTCTCCTTTTACAAAGGAAAACAAATGGTATCCTTCATTTGAAGATGGTCTCGTGTTCTCAATGAATCAGTAATATAATCCTAGGTACAAGTTTTGGAGAAAAAGGCCAATTCCTGGGGCTCTTACAAGTTTTACTACAAACTAAAGAGGAAATATTTCAAATGGATTCAAAGAAGAGCTATTTCATCAGGAAAGCATTAATATTTTCCCTCCTTATGTCTGATCACAAGAGCTGACAGTGACCCTGGGAGCTATAAGACCCTGGGTCAAATTACCAACAGAGCTGCTGTTCAGGATTTTATGCTGAATGACAGCAAAATCTACTTGCAATCTAATTTTATGGCAATGACATTTACCTTTGAAAAGATATAGCCTTAAACACCTACACACTTTGGCAGATGTTATAAAAGAGGAAGTCCTATTCACACTTCAAACTTAAGAAGTCTCAGCCTTGTTCTCTTTCTCCATTCTGGCACTTTAAAAAAAAAGTTTCTCAGCCATCCTTGAAATAAATCCAGTACCTCTCCAAAATCCCCATTCAGTGAAAGCCCCAGAAAATAAAACAGCATTTCCTCGTTTTGCTGATTTATAAGGACAAGGTGTAACAAAATCCAGGGAGCTCTGAGAAACTGTCCCTGAACCCTTTAAAAATAAAACTGTAACTCACTTATGAGAAGGAACAGCAGGACAGAGATAGCCCTCCAAAAATGGACACTAATGCTCTTCTATCTTATCTAAACAGCCTCAGTGGCTGAGGACCCACCAATTCCCATCTTGCCTGTCTGAAAAAAAGTATGTCCCTTTACCCACACAGGAAGTTCATAGACATTAACACCAAACCCCCTAAACAAAATTTTTAAATACCATTTTCATTTTTTCCTACTGAAAATGAGACTGTTCAAACCTAAAAAGATTGGTCCACCTCACACGGGAATAGGATCTGGAATTTTCAAAGCCAGACGCTTAACTCATCTGATCCTGGCAGGAAAGAAGGCTGGCATTTATAATCCAATTTTAATTTTCTTTTTTAATGTGACTCTGAGATTAGGCAGTCTGAAGGAGAACCGACTGTGGAGATTTTCAAACCTTCCCTAACAAGGGACCAATCTAAAAGGGATTATTTCAGAAAACTTTAGAGTAGGTTTCAAAAAAGGCTGGATTCTCACCTCAGGAAAGCAAGAAATAAAAACAATAGCCACTTTTTTTCTAGAATTTTAGCAATGAAATGTGAACCTGACCTTTAATAGCCTATGAACCCGCCTGTATTTTCTCAAGAAACCCACTGCATCTTCTCCCCACTGGACTAGCCTTCCAAAAGTTTGGGCTACAGTTCATGGCCTTGGGATTTAGCAGCCCAGCGAAGGCAAGCAGCTGGGACCTGGACTACCTGAAAGCCCCTTCTGCGTAATCACGTCAGGAGTCCCACACTCCGGCGTGCCCTCGCCTGCAGCTACCGGCTTTTCAGGAGAGCTTCTACCAGGCTCTCCTCCAAATCTACCTCCACCCACCCCATCCACACACAGCTCGCTCCCCCTTTCCAAACCTCCCCCACCCCGCAAGAATGGGAAGCAAGTTTCTCACCATCCTCATAGTTTTTGAGATAGTAATCAGGGCCGGGGCCCCCGCGACTTTTCGCCGGGTTCCTCAGGTTCTGGAACTGCAGGAAGTCAGTCCTTTTGCCCCCGAAGCGCAGAAAGGCCGGCGAAAGTCCCCGGGCCAGGGTCACCAGACGCTTGGAGCTGCGGGGTAGAGAAAGAGAGAGGAAAGGATCCCAAGGGAAGGCGGGAGGCCGCGAGCACCCAGCAAGGCCCTCTTTCCACTCTGCAAGCGACCTGGCCCGGGCTCAGAGGCTCGGTGTCCACCACAGCCCGCGGACTGCACGGGCTCCTGGCAGCTCCGCGGCCTCTAGCGTGCGCCTCTTGCCCTTGCCCTTGGCCCAAGCCTACCTTTTGCGCCCAGCTGGCCACGGACCCCTCCCTCGGACACCCCGAAGCTGCTCGCCAAAGGTAGTTATTTCCAAAGGACTAGATTGTGTTCGCTAAGTGTGTGTAAAGGGGGGAGGGGGGACACCTCTGAGAACAGGGGGCTAAGGCGCAGTTGTCCGGCTTTGCTGCTGCCGGGAAAACGCTCCTGAAGGAGAGGCGCAGCGCGCGCGTGCCGCGGGGCTCGGGTTTTTGCCAAACTTCTGCTGAATCCCTGGATCTGCCTCCTCGGCCCCAGGGGCACTGCAACCTCAGTAGAGAAAGTTAAACTCATCTTCTTTCTCCTTCTTTCTCTCAGACCAGGCACCTGAGGTCAAATTGATTCTGACTTTGTTTTTTAATGCCTAAATTGATTTTGCTTTTCCACTACTTTATAGCAACCGCATCCACCTCCCAAATCCCAGGTCGAGAGAGATTCCCGGGGTAATCCTTGCCTTTCGGTGAATACCTCCACCCCTGCTTTGCACAGGAAAGGCATTTTTCTTTGACCCTACAGTAATTCAGAGTGATCTCAGAAAGGTATCATTCTTCTCCCCTCCTCCCAGTGGGGCTCCATCTTTTTTCCTTTCCACTTGGAGCCGTTTAGAAGCGATGAGGAAACTGAAGTTTGCCGAAAGTTGGAACCTGCGCATCGGAGGAGCACCAGAACAATAGCATCTACCTCTATTTAGGTTCAGAATTTCCATAGTTTGTTTTTTGTTTTTTAAATACAAGCGCTGTACTTCGGAAATAGGTGAGAAAGTGCAATTGTAGATGCTCTTACTACTATACGTTATTTTTAACACTTTGCTGGTTCAGGTTCTGAAATCCAAACCCAAATGGAGAAACTAAAGAGTTTCATAAAGGGGACAGATACGAGAGAGGGGACCGGAGATTCTGCTTAGGGACTTTCTGAGAAGTCTTGGCCGCCCGGGGCAGTCCGGCGGCGGCGACCTCTAGGACTGCGTTCCAGGGAAGCGCGGTCGGACATCGCGTGGCCCTCCGCGGACAGAGAAGTCCGACCTGCGGAATCGGCATTCCCAGCAACCGTCCGTCCGGAAGTCTGCACAGCCAATGCAAATACGCCCGCCACGGCTTCTTCCCCCAATGCCGCCTTCTAGAATCTTTTCTGTGGCAAGCATTTGGCGCAAACAGGATGTGTGTGTGTTTTTCAAGAGAATCCTGAAGGAGTCTGCGCGGCTGGATAAGTGCAATGCAAGTGGGGAGTGTATCTCGGCAAACCCCGGTTGCCCCCCACCTGGGGACAAGCTCAGAGACACGTTCTGCTGCATGAAGAGCTTCCAAGGAGAACGCCAGGCGGCGCGGAGATGTGCCCGCCCTCCCAGCGGAGACGCGGGCAGCAGCTGAAGCGGCCTCAGAGGCGGCGGCGACAGCCATGCAGTCCTCACGCAAGGCTTGCTCCACGTGGAAGGAGCGCCCCATGTTGCGCCTCCCGCTACCTGCCGAGTCCGCTGACCCGGCAAAGTCCTGAGGAGACCCAGAGGGCTGAGGGGCGGGCGCACACGAGAAGCAAAACTCGAATGGAGTCAAAGATACTCACGAAAGAAGCGCAGCGGTCGCGGCCTCAGGGCGGAGAAAGGAGACTAAAAGCGCTCAAGACTCTGGGTGAGCCCACAGCTGAGGCTCCAATTTGGAGGGATTTTTAAAAACTCAGCACTTGGATTCAGCACTACAGATGATCTGTTTATTTCTTTTTCTTTTTTTACACTGCAACTCTGTCCCTGACGGGAAGGGATCGTGGTTGCCTAACTGCTGAACATTAACAACCGGCGAGAGGGATTCCAAACCTAGAGTAAGGGGGTCTGTGAACACAAGCCTCTGGGTTTGCGAATCCGCCAGTGCCGGGTTCAGACTTCTGAAACATCCCGGAGTATTTCTAGAACCCTTTCCGCTCTCCTTATATACGCTATGATCAGAGCGAGGATTTTTTTTTCTTTAAAGAAAAACTAAACTATGCAGTTACCGCAGGAGATTTAAGGAGGAGGGACTGGGGGGCCCTTCGGTCTATAAAAAGCATCTTACAAAGTCCTCAAGTCTGGAGATGACAGTGGAGGGTATAAAATAAAAATTTAAAAATATGATCCACTTGTCTATCACTCAAGCCTCTGCTTAAATTCATTTTCTGTCTGGTAGTTGGAGAGAACTGAAAAAACTATCTTTCCGTGGAAAATTCCATTTTCGTGCTATTCCCCGCTTGAACACTCACAGACACACACGCAGACACGCACTCTCTCACACACACACATACATACATACATTCCTCTCGGGTCTTTGTTGCTGGAGACCTTTTCTTCACTTTTGTAACTGTCCTGAACCTCGTCTCTTTTTCAGAAGGAGACGGGTAGACTAATTACAGATATATGTAAGCACAACATTTCTTCAGTCATAACTGATAAGTTTCTGAAATGCCTTCTGCATTGCAAACATGTGCATCTTAATAGAAAACATTGCTTTTCTCAATCACCAGTTACAGCCTCACAGCAAATATTCCAGGAGGAGGAAAACCTCCTTTCTTTCTGAGAGATCCGCTTGGCTTATTTTCTTCTTCTTTCCCCTTGGAATGGGAGATAGGAGGGGTGGGGGGTTGTTACTTAAAAAAAATGATCCATGGAAGCCCCTGCCTTACCTTAAGAAATCGAGCCAGCCATCATGAATGATGGACGGATCCAGCTGCAGAGAGAGGAAGTTCTCATTGACTGTCCTGATTGGGTTCTTGGTGCTCACATCAAGTAGAATCAGGGTCTTTTCCTTCAAACCTGGAGCTCTGTCTACAGGCAAGGGTCTCCTGTCTCCAGCTTGGGAGGAAAGGAAGAGATGGAGCAACAGAGCCAAGAAGAGAGCCACCGGGGCTAGGCACGAGGGGGGGCGGGAGTTGCTGGAGGGCATGGCTTCAGGGAAGGCACAGAGCACCCTCATTAAATCCCTCTGATTTAAACCTCTCTTCCTACAGGGTCTCGCTAGTGACTAATTGTCCTTATCTAAAGTGTGTGTCTGTCTGCTTTCCCCCCCTTTTTTCCCTTCCTCCCCCCCCCCTTGCTCTCTCTCTTTCTCTCTCTCTTTTTTTCCCCCTTTTTTTTTCTTCTGTGTTTTGGTGCTTGGTGGAGCGAACTCACGCCCCTAGCCAGCCTTCTCAGCAACTCTTGCCAAGAGTACTCGTTCACCAGCACCGCCCCTTTAAGAGATTTCGACTGCAGACATTTTTTAACTTTTTAAAGGTAAGGGGGTGGTTGGGGGAGAGGCGGGAAGTAGGAGGGAGGGGTGGCGTTGTACCCTCCAGATTTAACCCTCTAGGGTCAGGAAGTGGAGGAAGGGATCCAAGCAGTACTGTTTTAAGTTTTGAGTACAGGGTGGGATATCTTTTTTTTACTTCCCTCCCTGTGAGGTTCTGGGGAAGGCTGGTCTAGCTACAACCCCAACAGGACAGCCCAGCGCCAGCCCTGGGCACAGTGGAGTAAAAGGTCCACCCCAGCCTGTGCCTGTTGGTCCTTACAGCATCAGCTATTCTGCCTACTCTGGGCCCTTCCCTTTGGATTGAAGCAGGAGAGCAAGGATGTTAGTTAAGTAGCAGAGCGGTCCTGATTCCTGCAGCGACTGATTCCTGCCAAAGCATAGAGTGCAGACGAAGACTCCATGGACACAAGTCAGGACCTCTGCAACACACTGGGTATCCACCCAGAAGCATCCTCTGACCTAGATGGGGCAAAGAGTGGCCAGAAGTAATATACAGAGTGACCAGGTCAAAGAGCTTCTCTGTGTGTAGGGACACGGGGATCCAGGTTGCGTGTGGCTCCGTTCTGCCTGCAGCCAAAGTGAAATGTCTTGGGGGCTTCAATTTACGCTGACTTAGGCCAAGTCAAAGCAACCTGGTCTGTGTTTGGATAGTCTGGGCAGCAATGCACCCATCTCATCTGAACCACTGCGTGTCCACTCTACTCCAATGCACAAACAGAGGTGCCCTTCCTCAAGGTCAACCTTGGGCTTACCTCTGCTGTGGGGAAGTGAGCCTTTATGGTGCCAGAGAGGATTTTCAAACTCAACCTGAAGTCACCTGGAGTCCACCCACAAGTATGCCCCTAGATGTACAAGAACAGCCTGGAACCAACAGCCTGGAACCCACATGGTGCACCACCTGCCCTGACTCTTCAAGTGGAGACCCACAGCACCTATCGGCTCAAACCAAAGTGCAGAAGAAAAGCCAGGCCCAGTTTGTGCAGTCAGACCATTAGTCCCCACTTCTGGCTTATTTCTGGGACAAAATGGGCCTTCTACTTGGCAGATGAACGACTTTGTGCAGCAGAGGTATGCATGAGTGTCCCAAGGCCTCTGATATCAAACAGGCAAAACTCTAAAATGCAGATCAAAGGTTTTCCCCAAGGGTAGTCTCAGAACCCACAAACACTGAAATTGCAACCTGTCTCCCTTTCCCTCCCCACCAATGGGATTAAGGAATCTGGAAAGAGCTAGCATAGATAGCCTTCAAATGAGGTTTCCTGAGGAGCTTTTACTAAACCAAGCAACCAGGAAGTCCAAAGGTTAGGTTGGGTTAGACTGGGAAGTGCCATGAAGACCTCTTTCTGGAAGTAGGATTGCATAAAATGAGGTCAAAGGAAGACAACTTGAATGAAATAAATCATTTCAGCCCTGGCTGAGTGGCTCAGTTAATTGGTAGTAGGTTTGATTCACTAGAAATCACTTAACCAGTTAATCTTCAAGATTTCTGGGAACCTAGACTCCTAGATATCAAAGGAATTTATCTATTATAAGAACCATTCAGTAATACCAGGCAGACTATCCAAGGAGACTTCAATGTATCTAGTTCCCAATAATTAATATTTTATAAGAGGCCTTATTTTATTCAGACTCAGGCACTTAGTAGTTTGATTCCCAGTCAGGGCACATACCTAGATTGCAGGTTTGATTCCTGGTCAGGGCACAAACCTAGGCTGCAGGTTCAATCTCTACTCAGAGTGTGTGGGGGAGGCAACCAATTGATGTTTCTCTCTCACATCAATGTTCCTTTCTCTCCCTCTTTCTCCCATCCTCTCTAAAATCATTTTAAAGACATATCTTTGGGTGAGGATTAAAAAAAAAAGAAAAAAACATTATTTCACCCACTACACTAGATCTCTTTAAGTAACGTACCTTTCAAAAATACCAACTCTTGTGACTAAGGATGAACTTAGGTATAATGAGAATCTGCTTAATCATGAATTTTAACCACAATTTTTGCTTACTGGTCCAACTATTCTGTAATTGTTTGGTGGCCTATTTAACCAGTATTTAATGTTTTCATCAGAACCTGTATGTAGTATAAAAATAAAAGCCAACAAACCAAAATGCTTTTTTCTTAATTCCTGATTAAAACCATCTCTCTGGTATAGCCATTGAAATTCTATAGTCATGTCCAGTCTCAGGAAATCAAGGTAAAGAAAGCAATTCCATAACTTTTAGGGAGTTCCAGATATTCCTGGTTGACTCCAAGATGACCTGACTGTTTAGTTTGGTTATAGATCTGCACAGGGCTACTCCTTCCAAATAGCGCCCATTGCCCATATCATGATTTTTGTCTTGCCTCCTATCTAACCACCTACTTAATATGCTGTAAGTAGCTCATTTTTAATCTGTATATTAGGTTGATATTTCTATCCTACTTTTTGTGTGCTGTTGGGGGACAACAATTTGCATTTCTGCTCTTAGATTGTAATTTCCTAAGGAACAAAAATTGGGCCTCTGTATAAAATATTAATTATTGGGAACTAGATACATTGAAGTCTCCTTGGATAGTCTCTGCCTGGTATTACTGAATGGTCCTTACAGATAAATTCCTTTGATATCTAGGAACCTAGGTTCCCAGAACTGTAAGAAATCTTGAAGATTAACTGATTCAATGATTTCTAGACTATGGGATTTCAAAATAAATATTAGTGGGGGAAAGCTGACATATATTTGCCAACTTTTTATTTTGTCTAGTAAGGACATTAAAAAATCAGCTATTTATCACTATTACTTCCCAAAAGAAAAGAACATTCTAACAGCCAAAAAAAAGCTGAAATTATGTGAAAATAATGAGCAAGTGTATACTGAATAAATTTAGTTTCATAAAAAATTGCTATATTTTTATCATTTCATTTTATACCAGTGGAAATATGCCAGTGATCAACATTAGCACTAGGACTGGTGATTGGGACTAATGATGTATCCTGTGTGTATGGCCAAATTCTACTTTGTAGCCTACAGTGTGGCTGCAATGAGTGCATACTTTTTAAATGATGCTCATCTTCACTACAATAATTTCTTTCCAGTTTTCCTATGCTTTTTCTCACTTTTAGCCCATCACAAACTCATTGATTCTATATACCACCTCCTTTTCTTCTATTAAACATTCATGTCCATGATGACTACTATTTATTGAGATCTTATGGTCCATGCATGGTGCTCAGGGCTATACCTATGTTATCTTTAATCTTGAATAAGTCTGAGATGTATATAATTAATTATTATACCTAGTTTACATATACTAGTAAGAAAATTCAGACTCAAGAGATATTAAGCAACTTTCTCATGGTACACAACTAATAAGTGGCAGCAAGGATAGAAACCCAGGGATGCCTGACTCCACCACATTCAACTATAAGTGGCTAAAATAATGCATATGCTCAAACAACTTGTCAACATAGGAAAAAAACTTTGACTAGGGGTTGAAAGACCTGTGTTTGCCGGATCCCAGCTTTGTCACCTTGGGTAAACTTTTGAACGGTTCTAAACCTCAGCTGCCTACTCTGTAAAATATAATATCCTAGAGTTGAATAATAACTGAATAATGTTATTATGTAGAACTAATAACTTTATAAATTCTAAAATATTAATGTATTTACTTTATAAGTTCTAAAATATGCCAATTTTGCTATTTATTTCATGTTATTTCTAATTCCCTCTCTCCCACACTTACCATAAATACATCCTGTCAATTAATAACTGAGACAAGAATTAAACTAATATTAAATAATCAATTTTGTGATAACCTTGAAACAAAAGGTCAACTCTAATATATCAATAAATGTAGTAATAATTATAATGAAAGAATATGCCATATATTTCAACCATGCAGGCTCTTCTGTCTATAATTAGCATCTGAAAAAAGAAGAAAAGTTAAGTAGGTTTTATATGCCTCCTTCAATTTTCCACTAGGAGAGGGGAGACAAAGTGGGCAAAGGACAGTGCTGAGGAATAAGAAAGACTGTGTCTCCGTCCTAAGAGAAGCAAGGAATGGTGACACTTTCTCCATATGGGAAGTTGAAGGGGAAAGAAATTTATAACTCTGTAAGTTGTTTTACCTCATTATATAAGAAAATTCTAGCTGGATGGTTTTTGTTCCCATTGTTGCCATCAAGCAGTAAATGCATGTTGGGAAGATCATAACCATATAAATGTAGTTGACTCTCTTCAATCCAGTTTGAAATCCCTTGTTTCAGGGTAGATATGACAGTTATGTGGGCAACTACTATAGGTGGAAAAACAAGTAACAGTAAAATAAATTAAAAGTATTCGTGTCCTGGTGTGATGAAGGCCTAGGATGGGAGGACAGGTGCAGACTGGAAGGGGGCAATAGGGGGAATGGGGACATCTGTAATACTTCCAACAATAAAGATAAATTTTTATAAAGTTTTAATGTCCTTAGTCACATTCATTGATAGGTCACTTTACCATCCTAGCCCATTTTGCCTTTTGTACATTCAGGTAAGTCCTGAAAAGCATCAGGTTATACTGCAAATTGCATAGGTTCAATAGACTTTGTTTAAAATCTAGTTCACAATCTACTATCTGCTCATGTGACTTTTGTTGAACAAATCATTTTTCCCATCTATAAAATAGGCATAAGTATACTTCCCTCCACATGTGTTCTGAGAATTAAATGAGGTAATGTCTTTAGTTCCTGGCACATAGTTACTAAACTATTATTTTCACTGTTGGATTTTATGGTGGAAGTAA